TGTTTGCTGGCCATTATTCTGTCTTCTTTTGAAAAGTTTCTGTTCATTTCCTTTGCCAAGAGCAAAAGACATTCTATAATAAAGACATCTGCACCCGAATGTTTATGGCAGCACAATTCACTATTGCAAGGATGTGGAAACAACCCAAGTGCCCGTTGATTCATGAGTGGATTATTAAAATTTAGTATATGTATACAATGGACTATTACTCAATTATAAGCAATGACAGTGACCTAGCACCCCTTATATTTTCCTGGATAGAGCTTGAGCCCATTATCCGAAGTGAGGTATCGCAAGATTGGAAGAATAGGCTCCACATGTACTTGCCATCAAATTGGCACTGACTGATCAATACTATGGTGCTCACACGGTTGTAATATTCTCCAGGGATTAGGGAGTTGGGGGGGTAACCTCACTATTAATGGATGCGGTGAGCATTGTAGAGGGGAAGGGCATGCCTCTAATCCTTGCTTGGGTGAGGCAAAGACATAAAATGTAACTAAAATGTTTCTACCCTCATAATATCCTGAAATAAAAAATAAATAAATGAACTTTGAAAAAAATGAGATTTTGATGTATGAAAAGAATCTTTCTCCATATTCTATCATGGGACTATACAATGTAGTATATTTATTTCTAATTCACTTGGCTAAGACTTTTTCAGGAGTCCATAAAGTCAAAATTATTTCATAATAGCACTAAGATGCGTATCTGCCTTTTTTCACCAGGTTGACATTTGTACTAATAGTACAAATTCTGATGAGTAAAACTTGAGGAGCCTTAACAGGAACAGGAATCAAGGCAGTAACGTCAAACCAAATTGTAATAGTATCCTCATGTTCTTCTCTGCCACATGCATTCACAGAAAGAGATAAAAAAGAGCTGGTTTCCCTTAATAATGGTGAAGCAGTAAAACTTATTAATTTCATTAAATCTGATCTTTGATTACACACTCTCAGGAATAATACCTGTGAGGAAGAGAAGAAAGTAGGATTGGGCAGCAGGAGAAGTTCAAGAGCAACACATTCACTACAAAGGTCTTCATCCATTCTGTGGGATATTCTGGATCTGAGATAACCCTTTGCAGTTGGCCCAAATTGAGGAAAAAGGACTGAGCCCTTCTACTCCCACATTAATCAATCACTGGATTCAGGCTGCCCCTGTAAAGGGGTTATGGCCCTGGGTGAGGTGGTTTTCTCTAGCCAAGGGTTTTTCCTAAAGACTCAGCTAAGAACTATTAGCCCCCAAAACTGCAGAAGCTGTGAAATTAAGGGAGTTTGATACTGCGAGCTCTCCCAAGAAAATTCCTGCATGCAAATCTCCTTTTTCTAATCTGTTTCCCAGGGAACTCAGCCTGTGACAATTTCTCTCTCTCTCTATCAATCATCTACTTACCTACCTACCTATCTATCATCCATCCATTCATTTATCTATTCATTGATCCATCTTCTGCGTATAAAACGTAGGCTTGATGAAAGAAAAGCTCTGAAAATAGTTCTATATTCTTTTGGGAATGCATATCTTAATTTCTGCCACATGATTATAGGGAAAAATAGCTAACATTCCTGAAACACTGCAAAGCAGTCACAGGCTAAGCTCTTTATAGGTCCCTCATTTAGTCTTCACAATAATGATGTTATGTTAGTGTAGTCATTATTTCCATCTTGTAAATGGTCAAACTGACGGACAAAGAGATTTAGTAACCTAGTAAGTGGTGGGATCAGGATTTGAATCTAGGCAATCTAATCCCAGAGTCTGTATTCTTAGCTAGGAATTGCTGGCAAAAGAGATGGATGAAATTTTACCTCAGCCTGGGTAATTTGAGCAACTTAATTTGGCATAATAAAGCAAGGTCTAAAGATCTCTGAGACCAATTAAACAAAAAATAAATAAGAACACTCCAGATAAACCAACAGATGAGTATCCATTCATCTATATCTGGTGAGAGGAACAGCCGTATTTATTCATGCGTAAAGTATGGCACAAATCTATTTCTCTACAAATGATGCAACTCTCTTCAAACAAAATCTATATTCCTTTTTCTCATTCTTGTCAATACAGCCTCCTCAAGTTTGGTTTACATATTAGTTTCCTTGAATACATTGGATGGCTGATAAATGGTGACTGAATTAAATAGCCTTTGATACTGTCTTGTAGTGCACTGGTTGCTATTGCTGTATTATCCCTATTGTCTTGTATAAAACACACTGTTTTCTTTCCTTAAGCTAGGACATAGGTTTTATCCCTTTTAC